AAATTATCTCAAAATAGACCTTCACTTCGGTGCAATATTGAAATTAACTTGAATTCTTCATAACCTCTGAATAGTGGTTGACCTAACAGGTCACGGTTGTCTAGTTCTAGCTATAAGTGTCAGCAGAGGTAAGTATGATATTGAAGTTAACATTTTCCTAAATTGAAAATGTATTTCAGGTTTTGTTACAGTTACTAAGATGATGCCTGTCAAGTACTACAGGTTGGCTGGAGTGACTACATTGTTTTATTAATTTAGAAAGCTTATAGCTGTTTTACTGTTTATTAGGAATTCAGAGTTTTTTTGTGGAATAAAGTATCAGTATCGAAATTTGTAATCTTTTGCAGTTCTTTAAAGTGATATACTACTTTACTATTGTGCATGAACAATTGTATCAATATCACAACTTCATTCTTCCAAAATGGCAACTCTGTAAGAAGGCAGAAGTTCTGGTAAAGTATAAAAATTCATGGGGAAATAAGTTTCATGGGGTGATTGCCAAGTCCATTTTGGAAGAAAGCCATGCAAGATGGATGGTATGCAATCATGATGAGGCATCTACAGTGTGAACGAACATGTAAATATGGTGCTACATCGGTGAAATTTAAAAGCCAACTGCTAGCAGCTGCTGCTGACATTTTGTGTTTGTTGTTGTTTTAGCAAAACCCATTTCAATGATAAAGAATGAGTTGTTGTGCAAACCTATGTGGGTAATACAGAAAAACTATGGGTTTTTAGGGTAATAACTACAGATAGACACCAAAATGTCTTAAGTATGAAAGTCTATCTAGATCTTTTTGAATTAGAGAATTCTCAACGTCAGTTATCCTTTCTGGGATCTTAGTATCATCAGTAAGTTTAGAAATATTCAGTAGGGGTATATTTGAAAACTCAAAGGTTTGTTTGCAAGCTAGGAATTCAAAAATAGCTCTCAACATTTTAAGGTTCGACACTGCAGCATTCCAACAGTGTCGGATTTTTTTTTTATATATATATATATTAACAGAAACAATTTGATATTGTTTTAATAGTAAACAATTATTAAATGTTGTTCACATGGAAAAGGTGATTAGCATCATGTGAATAATTTATACAAAAATTGACTTTAAAAAGAAAACGCATGCACACACACTACTAAAATATTATAAGTAACTGCTCTTTCTATGTAATGGAGCAGGCCATTATTGTGAAGCAATGGGAGTATGTGTAGCAGCTTCATTGCTTCAATAAAATGTACTGAATGTCTACTGTACAAGATATAATTTCTATTTTTGTTTTCTAAACAAAGTGGTTTTTGTTATTCTGTTCTGTTTTGCTGTTTATATATATAATTATTTTAATTATTATTATTTATTCATTTAGCTGACACTTTATCCAAGGCAAATTTTTAATTAATCAGCAATGTTTTGAATGTATTACTAGATTTGGTGTCTATTACTAAGTAAGTCAATTGACTTGTCATTTTTAATCACACCACTTGGTTCAAAATATCTTTTGCACTAGAGGTATTTGGTGGATATCACATGTTATGAAATAGGTATAACCTTACACTCAATGAGACTCCCCACAAAGCCATTAGATTCACTTAGAACTATGTACCTAACCTCTTACATGAGTAGCTTAGGCAGGTCACATAATTATTTTAATTACTTTGAATACACATCACTGCTTTTACATTGTCTAAACTTTATGCATTGAAATACAACAATCAAAACAATGTTTTGTATATGAATCACAAGTTTCACCCTAGTAATTATTAATTTCTCAAATAAATGTATGTGGGCCCAGACTTCTATATTTGTGCCTGCTTATATACAACATTAAAGAATAAAGTTGTGCAACTGTAATTTAGAAAAGTAACATAAAAAAACAGTAAATTTACACTTTATTTAACATTTAAATGTACCAAGAGAGTTGGTAATAGGTGTTGTCAGCCAGTTGAATTCCTTCTAGTTAGCAGTACAAAATTTGCAATAACAAAGACAGGGTAAGCAAGTTTAGTAGCAATGGGAATTGAAGTCAAGACCCTCAAATAATAATGCTAAACAAACATAGGATAGTTGGAATAATTGGAAACCTTAATTTCAGTTAGTACAGTATTTTTATGACAATCAGTATCATTAGAATTTTGATCTATCAATTATTGGAAAATTGATAACAGTAGTAAGCCGAATCACTAATTTTGATTAATTGATTAGTTTGTGTAACACTAATTGAGACAACTGAAAATACTGTGACTGTTATCTTGCTTGGAATGAAGACATTTAAATAAAGACAGCTGCAGTCAGGGGATGGGCTTTCTCAGTGGGTTTTTTGGACATTGTGTCTGATGCTGATGTTTGGGTATAGTGTTCATGAGGTCTTGTCGTTGCTACATTGACCTTGTTTAACATGTAGTGCATCCCCTCGTATAACTCCATGATGGGTGGGTTCAGTGGGCACTGAATCATTTTCTGATGCATCCCCACAAATAATGAAAAAATCAGCTAATAGGTAAGTAACCATGTTTAGAAGACACTGAATAGCAGTCTCCACCCCATTCTGCACCTGGACCTTGTTTTTTGTTTCCTCTTGCATTCTTTAAGAGATAATCCTTTATGACAAATGTCTCCCTTTTTTATTCAGAAGAGATTAGAAGGGCTTGCTGGCTCTCCAATGTCAGTAAAGAAGCTATGTTCTGGGGACATCTTAGTGGAAACATCTACACCAAAACACAGCTAACTCCACAACCATTTGCATTCATTTTTTCCACCAATGGGGTTTACACCCCAATTCCAAGCTCCATCTCGGGGGGTGGTGTTCTTCCCATGGTTCCTGAGGCAGCTTCATAACAAGCTCTTTCAAATTAAACCTACTGTTGTTGTTTGGCCATCTAGTTTCCATAAGGATCATAGGGAGGAAGTTGTTTTGGCTAGGCGAAACATTGGTCACAGTTTTTTAACCCTTTGATTTCTTTTATGTGGGACTGATCCACAAGTATGTAGCCTCTGTGACACTTAAGTCATAATTTCCCATGTGTTGCATATTTGCTATCGTTATGACTGTGACTGGCGACACCATTTTGGGCATATTTTTTTCTTGGGGTTTACCCCTGACATTGGACAGTGTCAGTCGCGATGGTGACACTGTCCAGTTTCACTGTTTTAGATTTTTGTGGTCCATAAGCTTTTTTCATTTTATATAAGTTTTCTTATTTGGTCGTTTTCTTATCATAGAAATATCTTACAAATACATATTAAACAAAAATTAAATATTTATCATAATTTGTAATTGATAATGAGAAAGTGGCTTTGAAGTATTCCTAAATTTCTTAAGTTAATACCTGAAAAGAAAAAACAGAAACTGACAAAAAGTTACAAATATTAAAACTTTTAGAAAAGTTTCCAAAAAAGTGGTGATTTCTAATTAAGTTCATGAAGGATATGAAATCTTTATCTTGTAGCCTATCTAGCTTTACCTGGAGATAGAAATAACATTACTATTTATTATAATGTATTGGATAATGGCTAAATATAAATGCATTTTTTGTGGTTAATATGATGTTTTTTACATGGGAACATCTTATATTAGGAAAGTGTAATTTGCTTTAACTGATGAAAAAAAATGACATTTGCAATTATGCAAAAACTTGTTATAAATGGAAATGATAACTTGCATATCATTAGGGTACATTTTTTTTAATTTTCTGAAGTAATATATTATGAGCATTATCTAATAAAATTGTGTTTTGATATATGTAGAAGTACAAGAGCATTCTCAATTATAATCTACTGAAATACAAAATTACATGACTACACAGTTCACACAGAAGCAGGATGATATTGTATGAAATGCTTCTATCGTGACATCTTGAACTCTTCCATAACATTAGTTTTTAGTGTAAGATCAATGTTATTAAATAGTTTAAATTAAAAACATTAAAAATTCATTTGTAAAGTTTTTTTCCATGATACATTGTTTTTGGTAAATTTGTACACAAGTTATTATGGTCCTAATATTAACATTGTTCTCAGTAGCAGTTTTTATTGCAAACTATTATCAGCTGATGAACATTTATGCATGTGACAACCTCTTGTAGTTGCTTAGAAAATATATGATCAAAGATTCAATTAGTTATAAAAAATTAAATTTTAAATTGAAAAATTTTTTGTCATATGGGCTCTGTGGTTAAATAAATGTACTGCTAGTTAGTATTAATGATGTTTCATTTTTGATTTAAGGTTATTTTTATCAGTTTGCTGTTTTTTATGTTTTGAGGCAACTTTGGAATTGCGAGAGTTTTTCAAGAATCCCAATGTTGTGGAATCAATGTGCCAAGTGCTTTCCAATTCAGGAAATCCACAGGTGAGTATTTAAAGAAAAAAATTTTGTGTATAAAAGCAATTACAGGTGTGTGTGTGTGTGTGTATATATATATATATATATATATAATAAAATAAAAGTTAGATACTAGTAGCTTAACCTAACTATTGTGTAAATTAGTAAAGTTAGGTTAAATGTCCTAGTATACAGATGGGAAATTCCCGTTTGTCACTTGATTGAGAAATAGAGCTGATTGCATAGGAATGTTTCACACAGTACTTTTGAGTTTGTCACGATTAAAACATCAAGAAAGAAAGCAACTGAGTGAAAAATCTATGGTCAGCAGCTAATATTTTTTTGTAAAAAATATGTGGAGTATTATCTGTTTCAAATCTCTGACAGTGTAATAATGAAATAGCACAAGAGATAGCAGTCTTTGAACCATGAAAATCATGTTGATTCTGTATTTTTTAAATATATGTTTTTACAAACTTATATGAAAATAAAGTTGTTACAGTTGTTAATGGTTCTTCAGGATTGTCATTGACTGCATATCTACACACTTTATACTTATATTACACATTAAATTATCAACTGTATTTGATAATATTCAATATATTATACCTTAGATTTTATACCCACTGTAAGACATTTTAGATCAGACATTGCATATTTATTAGCTTTGAAAATTTATATGTACTTTTATTGTTAAGTCTAAAACCTTTCATTTATGTACTTAAATTTATGTATCATTTTGACATACGGTGGTAATTTTTTGTTAAGAGCATTATGTTTTTCAGATAAGAATCCTTTAAATCCAATTAAAAATATGAAAGTTTTTAAGCATTACTATCTAGTATGTAGTAAGTTACTGAGGTAAGCAAAATATTCAGCTATGGATAAGAATAATAGTTAAAACTGTAATGATGATTTATTATTGTCAACTCAATCCAATCCACAATACGTAAAAACTCAACTACTCGAATTTGTAGGTAAGACAATATGCAAGTGTACTTCTGAGAAGAAAACTTGCAAAAGGAAGACAGTGGACAAAACTTTCTGCTGCTACTCAACATGGGTAGGATGATTATGTAATATCACATACATAATACAATATATTATTGTAGGTTTCTTTATATGCAGAGTTATTTCTCTTCAATTTTTAGAGTTTTTGAAATATCTTGCTTGATTAAATGTTTTATAGTAATAAAGTTGTTTTCTTGAATAATTTTATGAAAGACATGGTTTCAGTTTATTAAATGAATGTAAGGTAAATTGTTCAAAAGATTATCAGCCTTGTTGGTTTCATTTATTTTGAATTGTTAGTGATTTCCTTTCATTATTAATAATTACTCTTTTAGTGAATTGTTAATGATAGAACTAAATTCTAAAGAAAATCTAAAAAATTACAATTTCTAGTCATTATACTTAATTTTCTCAATGCTAATTACTGAGTTTATGTAGTTGACGCATTAGCTAAGCACAATTTCTTGATGTATATAAGAAAATTAAGACATCATTGAAAAGAGCAATAGTGAATTAGTAATGCATATTTATTATTCACTAATTTTCAGGTGTATACTTCTCATACATATTTTCTTTTTTTGTGTTTTTTATGAAAATTAATTGATTTAAACTTCCTGTACACTATTGAAAGTTGACATTTCCTCAGGTAGTTAAAAACTGAAATTTTACTAATTGATTAGTCACAATAAATATTTGTATATAAAATTCAGAAACTGTGAAGGGATATGGAATTCAAGGGCCTGTGGACAGAAGATCAAATCTTTTACAGCTTCTAGCAGTTCAATGAACTGTGTCCCTCATATTGCTGCAAGAGAAGGTGGTAGTGATTCTCTCGGACATTCACTTCAGGTCTCTTTATTTTCAGACATTGGATCTTCCCTTTTGGGCCCACAATCATTTGATTGTTCTCCTTGCTTGTCATGTGCTAGGTGTAATGTTATCTCATCCCAACAGAGTTCTTTCCACAGAACAGGTACTTCATCCACAGGTTTTTGTTGGATCTGTTCTCGTCTCAGGTTGCTTCTGGTCAATGCATTTGCCACACACTGGAATGCCCAGCTCCTGTCCTTCTGGTCTCCCGTACCTCACCCTCTGGCTTTGAGCATAGATGCTTTCAACCAGGATTGGACAGGTCTTCATCTTTCAAGTTCCCTCTGGTTCTTATGTTATCCAGAGTTCTTGCACATATTAACTCCTCATCCTGTTGAGTTCTTCTGGTGGTGCCACATTGGCTGGGTTAGCTTTGGTTTCCACTCCTTCATTATGTTCTGGAGTGCCTTCCTCTTCCACTTCCTCTCTGGCCTCAGTATGACATTTTTAATCCTGCTATCACTATTCTCCAGCTTCAGTCCTAGCTTTTATGCAGTCCATTGCACAATGTTGGGGGTTGACCTTTCAGGTGGCATCTTTATTATCACGGTCCATTTGGCATTCTTTGTTGGACATTTATCAACAGAAATGGTTTACATATCATGAGAGGCTTCTCAGACATGGTTTTAATCCTTGTAATCCCACTGTGCTGCATGTTTCTCAATTTCTGACATTGTTATTTGACAAAGGTTTGATGCCTTTGTCTGTTTCTCTGTATAAAGTAGCTTTGTCAGCTACTTATCGTTTTTCTGGGAAACTTAAAGTTTTTGAGTCCTTGGTTTTGTCTTTGCTTCTGAAATCTTTTCAGGTTATCTGTCCTTGATGTCCTTTCCAGGTTTGGGATATCACAGTGTTTCTTCATGCCTTATATTGTCCACATTTTGAACCTTTGTCATGTTCCCGATATCACCTTTCTCTTAAGACTTATTTCTTCTGTTGTTGGTTAGTGGATGTAGATGTTCAGGTGTGTTTGTGATTCATATTTGCAGGATTCTTTACCATTCCACTTATGTTCTGTTGTATCCTGATAGGACCTTTATACCCAAAACTTCATCAGCCAGAGAAGGGGATAAGGCTCTCTCTCCTGTTCCTCTTCCCTCCATTTCTCATTTTTATGACCGATCAGATCCAAATCATCTTTATGCACAGTTCAAGCTCTCCAGTGTTATGTTGCACACAATAAAAGGTTTCGAGGTTCATGTCACTGTTTGTTTCTCATCTCATCACATCTCATCCAGTGTGCCATATCTTGACATCCCTGACAGACAGCTTGGTATGTGGACTACACCTAATACATTTCTATCTCATTATTTACATGATTTGGCAGTTGCCTTCTTGAAAGGTTTCGGCTGCCCCCCACCCCCTGTGGCCATTCTCCATGCCCTGGCTAGTTTGTCAGAGAGGTGAGTGACTTCATTTATTTTGTGTCTATTTCTATTCATTTTCAGGGACACTCATCATTTTTAATTGGATCACGCTCAGTGGTCAGGGGTTGCCTGGTCAGTTGACTGCTAAACATTTTTCTTCGTAGCATCAAGCCCTCTTGAGATGGGGTGTTACATAAAACTACCTTGTGTGCTTTCCTGATGGTAAACAACTATCAAACAAAAACAATACACTACTGGACTGCTACTCATGGACTATCATGAATGAAGTTTAACAGGATTTTGCCCATCCCTGCAGACCCCTGGATTGAATGAATTGAGGTTGGTTTGCTTTTCAAGATAGGGAATGTGTGTCATGTATTGCACTCTCTCCAGAGTATCATTCCTCAGGACTCCCCAACACAAGTATTCCCTATTTCTCCTAGTGGAGCGTGAGAGTCTTTACCACTTCCAGTTTCTTGTTGCTGAAGTGATGGATAGAAGTCTATTCCTCCTAAGTGATATTTAAACTCAATACCGCTCAAGGAAAAGAGGGTGAAGCTGGGTGCTCTCCTTCCATTAACCCTGGATGGTTTTCCCAAATGTATAGTAGGTGCAGGATTACCCAATGCAGGAGTCTCCTTGTAATTCCGGTTCAGAGGTGAGTCTTTACTATCCAGTTGAGTTGTGCATGGCCCTTCTTTTTGGTCATTATCTTCATGTCGATGATCATGGAAGAAGGTCCTCGACTTCTCATAATTCTGCATGCAGAGTGTTGATTCATGTGCCATTGGTTGAATTTAGTTTGTTCCACATCCTTCTTGTAATTCTGGAGGTAGGGGGTTCATTAGTTAGGATTTCTGTCTGTAATCCCAGGCTGGGTAATTTCTGTTTCTTCAAGTTGAGTGAGATGTGAATGGTCTCATAATTCTGAATTTGGTTTGTTGCATTTTGTGCTTCTTCAGGTTGGGGCTATGGTTTGTTCACTTTTGTGTTGCTTGCCTTCTATTCATAATTCCAGTGGCTCAACATAATCATTCTGTAATTTTCGGGTTGGGTTCCAATAACATCATATTACAAAACAAGACAAAATAAAAAGTGCTCCTCATGTCCTAGCCATTACACCTTGGATCCAGACATGGGACTTTGTCTGCCTGGTTGGGGCCTGATAAATTCATGTTCTAAAGATATTAGGGTTTTGTTTTTGTGGCTAGTTGGCCTTTACCACCCAGGAATTAGATTTCATGTAGTACGGGCAAAGAGCTTACCTGTATTGCAGATCCCACTAGTGTGCTATTACTATATTTCATTTTTGCACACCTCTTTTGTACACAGACACTTTCTGTGTGGATCTTGCCCTCACTGGCCCCTCCACCTTGTCAGTATGGGATTCTAGCTAAAGTATGAGAAAAGGTAAGTGTGTTTCAGAAGTTAGCATTTTCCTATACCGAAAATGTATTTTCGATAATACTTACTTCCGCTCACACTCTCCCTTCTTTCCTCCCCATGAAATGGCTAGTTTTGGGTCTGCTGATTTAGACCATATCGAAAAGTGAATAGGAAGTAATAATGGGGAGTTTATATACGGATCTGGTATATGTGGCACATTGATGTAGGTGGGGATAAACACAAGATTTAATTTGCTATTGGCAATAGAGTGAGGTATAAAGGCTGGAGCAAGCAAAGTAAAATTCATATCAATTCCAAGATGGGGAGAGAATAGTAACTTTTGTTGGGATAATGTTAAACTTATTATAAAGCAGTACACAATATTATATCTTTTGTATTGTTCTTCAGTTCTTTAATAATTAAAATTCAACTCATTTGGTATTATGATGCCTTGTGTGTGATAACAGTTAATAACCTATTAAAATAATTATTTCATAAGCTTTCCTAGAATTTTAATGAAATCCATATAATTTAGCAACACTGTTTTGTACTACCTGAATATTAAGTTGGACATACACTTGCAGGGTGAAGCAGACTGTCATTCAAGTCATAATTAAAGAAACAGAGTAAGTATAGTTTAAAAACTTCCACAGATATGCTTACTTACAATGATTTTCTTGTCTGTTTTTGTGAGTAGAGGGTAGGCTATAGGTGTACCATATTCATTTTAAAGGTGATGGTTAAGTACTGGATAGTGTAGACATCACTAGCAGTTTACAGTATGTTTACTCATATAACTAGAGCGTATGTTTAAAAACTTTACATTCATGGAGCTTAAGAAAATGTTACTGAAGGTACTACAGTAAAATAAAATGTTTATAACATGTTTTGCATAGACTGAACAGTACTTGAATTTTAGGATATTTCTTAAAGTGCTTGATTATGAAAATTGCATGTGAAACTGTTTATTTTGACAGATGTACTTGAATTTCACAATATTTATGTTTATATTTTTAATTTGTTGAAATTTTAAGCATTTTACAAAATAATCTTAAAATATTATTGAATTTTATTTATAAAGTATGTGGCTTCCTCATAGAAAAAAAAAGAGTTAAAAGAAACAACTGGTACTAATGAGAACTAAATAAATGGAATTTCTTATTAAATACAAGACATTTCTTTTGTGCTGATTTGGAAGGTTTTAAACAAATGCCTTTTATCTCAGTAATGTGCAGAGGACATTAAAAGGGTAGAAGTTCATTGACAGATAAAGGGCATTTTTCAAACATAAAGCACTTTTTGGGTATAAGAGGAGGAAGCCATGGGCTTGAACTCACCAAGCCACTGCTTTATCTTACTTGTTGATGAAAAACGTTTTATCTTTGAATCCTAAGTAAATGGCTACTGACCCTAACAAATGCAGAAAACTTTAATCATGTAGTTTGTTTTGTTATCATCAGAGAGAGTGAAATAAAATTACTGTGATGCTATTTTTAATAAATACAACAACTTTCTGGACAACATCCCAGCATTTGGATCAGGTATATTTATCAACTTTAATAATATCATTGATGAATTTCAATCAACCAATCTACATGAAAACTGATGACCATTTCTCTAAGTTTGATGAGGTAGTAAAAGTGTTCCATGTGTTGTTGCATATCTGAAACTTGTAGAAAGAGTTTTTTCTGTGAACATAGAGGTTTAAGTACAAAACACTAAGTGAACAATCTTTAATGACACAAAATTTCTATGTGACCATATTACATCAGTAGGAGAAATCTTCAAGGTTGCTATGTCCAATTCACTGCTGGTGTCATTAGTCATGTTAGGACAGAAATACTAACTTTAACTTCAGAAATGAAGAGAAGAAATTAAAAACAAGAAGAGAAACAGAAAATAAATCTCATAGAGGAAATGGAAGAAATGAAAAAAAGAAGAATTAAAACTTAGTAAGGATGTAGAATCCCATAAAACTCAGCACTTCTTTTCTCCAAGAAAAAAGAGAATACTGGAAATCTCACTTTTGTTTCTAAGTCAAATATATTTAGAAATAGTGCAAGGAAAAAAAAAGAACAGCTTGAAAGAAATGGGGGATTCTAAGATTTCTTCACTTAAACAGTGTTAATCCATATCTACAAAATCACAAAACCCATCCAGTTTGACTTTTTGTATCACAAATTGTTTATGAACTTAGACTTAATGTGTCAAAATAAAATTGTTAACAACTTGAAAATTTCATATCCTTGTGCTTCGGAGTACTTGTTGATTATGTGTTAAAATTCTGCTTCAAACATTTTCATTATTATGAATGAAAGACCTTTTGAGTCTATACACTTGTGAATGATTAATTTAATAATAAGTATAAAGCACTTGTTGTTATTTACTTGGATTCTTACATGCTTTTAAACCAGAGTTTATGTAATGGAATTGTGTGAATGTAATAATATATTTGCGTGTATAAAATATTGCATGTTATTGTTGTTGTTTTTGAAAGGTTTTATGAATGATACTTTTACCCTTGAAACATTAAAATCTCTATGAACCATGTATAAATCTGTATGACTATATCATTCTGTATTTTAACCTTTGTTCAAAATAGTTTTTAGCCATAAACATATTTTTAGTGTTTTCCAAAAGTACTATTTGATCCTTTTATTTTTACAGTACAGTAACTTGGTACATTTTACAATTACTATTGCATTTATTTAAGGTTAAGATGTATATGTAATTTTTGCATTGAGAATGAGTTTTTTTTTTTAACTGTTTGTTTTAGAAAACCATGTCAAAATGCCTTAGCTCAACTGATAGCCACTATAGCTAAATATGAGCTGGTAAAGGAGAGATGGCCAGAATTATTTCAGTTCTTAGACCATTACACCAGTAGTAATGATACCATAAAGAAGGAGGTAATAATATTTCAAAATTATACATTTATATTTTCTTGTAATTGTAATTATTTTTATTCTAATTATGCCTTTAACACACAAACTGCAGTTCACTGTTTTAAGAGATTCAGTCTTTTTCTTTGATTTCTCCTTGTCCAGGGTTATTGATAAGAGATAGAATTTCTCAACTTTCAGTGAAAGATGGCAAATCTACCAAAGTATTGGGCTTTATGTTTCTTATTTTGCAGCACCGAATCTACCAAAGTATTGGGCTTTATGTTTCTTATTTTGCAGCACCGATTCTACCAAAGTATTGGACTTTATGTTTCTTATTTTGCTGCACCAAATCTACCAAAGTATTGGGCTTTATGTTTCTTATTTTGCAGCATCCCAGTGGCACAACAGTAAATCTAGAGGCTTATAACACTAAAACTAGGTTTCATTCACTTTGGCAGGAACAACACAGATAGTCCATTGTGTAACTTTGTTCTTGACTACAAACTTATTTTGCAAAATACACTGTTATGAAAGAGAAAATATATCCATAACATTACAGAGAGCTTAGTGACTTTTCATTAATTTTATCATTATTACCTCCGCCACAAAAGATAGACGAAGGTTATGTTTTCACCCCTGTGTGTGCGTATGTGTGTCAGCAAGATTTCTCAACTCTCTGAATGAATTTGGATGAAAGTTGGTATACATTCGGACTATGACCCAACTTAGAAGTGATTAGTTTTTTGAGGGTCATAATCATAGCAGGGTCCTGAAAATCCGAAAAATCCCTATTTGATAACTTGGGGAGTTATTTTTTACACAATTTTTGCTCCATAACTCAGTCAAAAATTGTTGGATTTTGATGAATATTGATGGACATATGTAGCATATTATTCCTCATTTTTCTTCTCTTTTTTTTTGAGAGCCAAATATGATCAATGCTGCATGACAGAGATATGTGCTCTATTGGGTGCTCCTCTAGTTTACCATGCCTTTCTAAGTTTTACTTACTTCTTTATTTTCCAGAGCCAAAAACCTGACTCAGAACTGTCTGATCTCAGTACACTTAAAAATGTTTTAGTAATTCACACAGAATTAAAAATATATATTTCCCCAGAGGTTGAAAAAATTAGTCTTTCTCTAAACAAGTTAGGTGATGCTTTGCTATTTATAGATTACAAAATAAAACTATTGTGTCAAAAGGAAGTGAATTACCTGCATTTTTTCTTGCATGAATGACCAAAATTGTATCATAATTAACTATGCACTGATAGTAAATTTAGGTTTGAAGAATTGTAAAAATGCACAAATAATTTTACTTTTTGGCTTAAATAATGTTTTCACAATTTTTTCCCCATACATGAATTACTTTTGTACTTCACATGTTATTGTCCTTTCTATAAATTCTGTGGAGAAGTCACAAAAATTCTGTTTATGATACATTCAAAATTGATCTACAACCTAAGTTAACCCCTTTTTAATTTCAGTTTCGCCTCTGGCTAGTATTTATGTTTTCATCTGATTCTTGTAATTTCTTTTTTACAATAACTTGCCTTAAAATATATTTTTCATTAACTCTGATATATGTGTATTTACCTTTATTTCTTTTCAACTTCTTATACTTACTGTACACAATTATCTTCTTTTATTTCAGAGTTAACCCTTTCCCCCCCCCCCCCCAGGTATACTTTACTACGCATGACAGAGAGTTTTAGTGCCTTACATTCAAAATTCCATCAAACTAATTTTTTATTTTACGTTATACCAATTAGTATACCATAACATTGTAGCTAATAATCCATATTTTACTAGTATATAAGTTTTACGTTCCTAATTCTACAAGGCAATATTTAAAAAAATCCTGAATTTCCTCTAGTGTGACACTCGTAACATATTTTCTCCAGGCATCTTGTCTTCTCTATTTTATCCACCACTCCTTGAAAAATTATGAAGTAAAATATAAATTACTCTATAGAATCGTCACTGCTCGATCGAACCACAATTTTTATTGCCTTCAATTTTATTTGGTTATAAAGCTGTTGAATATAAAATCAGACCACTCCTACCACACCTACCTGTAACATCCTCTCTTTCAGGATTTGTTAATAGTTTTCTCTTACATTTAATTATATATTATCTGTAATCAATAGAAAGCCAAGGTTTTCACCTATCAAATGATGTATTATGTTGTGTTCTGATCAGATAATATTAATAGTCAATTTCACTCAGAGTACAATCAACATATGTGTGAGAAACTTAACAACTAGCTTGGATGAATTTGTAAGGCTTTTGTCGCATAGTTAGAAAGCTAGAAAAATTTTTAAAGTTAGGGGAAATTGTTTATTTTCTGCATGTTATTAGTCTGTGTTCTTTGATGCATTATTTCATTAAATAAAAATTATTTAGTGCATTACTACCATTAGTATAAAATACTAGGCTTATGTATCCATGAAAATTGACAGCAAGAAAAAATAAGATTGGGTAAGTACTTTATTTCTTGTTTTTCATGTTTATTCTTTATTTATTATTATAAATAGGGATCTTGTTAGGTTAGTTAAGATTAGATTAGGTAAAATAAATAATAATATAATAAAAAAATGTTTCGCAAGGCACGCATGTGAGTAGCATATAGATAATGTAATTCGATAGCGTAACATGAACTGCACGTGCCCCGAGTGTTTTTAAATTTTTAATGGTGTGGATAGTAGTCAGACATGGTTCAAAGGGCAATAAAACAATAAAATTTAATTATAAATAGATGTATACTGTTAAGAGTTTAAAGCTACTTAGGGTAATTTAGATTTGTTTAATTTTATTTTTGGTGGTTACAAGGTTGGTCAAATTAACCAATCCCGTTTAGAGATGGGGTAGTGAGAACAACAGATGAAATATATAGTTTAACTAAAAAAAAAACGTTTGAATTGTATTTAAGAGGTTTTAGGAATTTACACAAAGGAAATTTGAGATTTTTTAGATGAGGAAAAGTATTTTTAATCTTAACATGAAAATTACTTTGCACATGGACTGTTCAAAACAAATACTTAGTATATTCATGGGCAAATCTATTATTTTAGTTTATTAAAAATACTTCACTAAAAACTATGATTTTTGTATGTGAAAGACTTATAATGACTGCCTAATTTTGTGAAGAAATACATACTATAAAGATGTTAAACAAGTATAAAAAGTTCATATGGTCAGTCAAATTGATCGACCCCGTGTTCAGAGAGTTAATGTGTGATTGTTCATTTTTGTGGGTTTTTTTTTTTTCTTTTGTAGTTTAGTTGGTTAATGGATGACCTTGATGAGCCAATTGCCTTTCTGTCATCCATCTTTCTCATTCTTGTGAAGTTGATTGCAAATTTAAGAATGTAGATAAATTTAAATTTTTTTAAATTCATTAATTTAAAAAGTTTATATTGTTCTTATCTCAATAGATGGCATTGATCACTTTAAATGCTATTGCTGCATCTGCAGGAGAACATTTGAAGCCCCACTTAAAGTCTTTATTAACAATGTTGAAAAAAAACCTTGCATTTCAAAGAAATATTGAAGTTTTGGAAAATGAGACAATACCTTTTTACAGTATCAAGTAAGTATTGAGAGAAACATTTTATCTTATTATTGCGTATGTAATTGTATAGGGTTTTTTTGGAAAACTGTTTACTAGCAGTATGATTAACACAATATAAAAATGTAAATTGTTTGAAAGTGAACTTCAGTCACACTTGAATGTACCAAAAATACACACTACCTTTTAAAATTTAAAATTAAGACTTTAATTTTATGAGAGGGGTGTTGACTAAAAAGAAATATTATTTTTTATTAAATAAAATGCTGCAAATACACTAAAAATTTTTAAAATGAGTTATGCAATGATGATTGTGTTTAACTTATAAAAAATTTACATTGATAAAATTTTGTGCATAAAGCTATTAAAATATCAGACATTGTAAAAACATATATTAACATAAGTTACTTAAATTAGCTACAACTGTTTTAGCAATTTCTTTATTGACATTTTTCTGTCACTGAAGATGTGATAATTCAGTGGTGATACCACGTCTTGGCAACTATTACAAAAGCTGAAACAGGTAGTATTCAGTAGTCTCATTCTAAAGTATGTTGGTTAATATTATGTATGTAGTTTATATGCTCTGTTTTATTTATAAGATAGAGGAATTTGAAATTTATTCTAGATAGAGAATTCACTTTTGTAATTTTCTTACTTCTGAATATTGTGCTTTAAAAAATTAGTAACACTTTTATGAAATGAATCAAAAAATGACCTGTTTCAATATAAATTTATCCCCATCCCACCAAACATGCTTGCCCTTTTAGTCTTGGGGGCATTATAATGTGAAGATCAATCCCATTATTTCTTGATAAAAGAGTTGGCAGTAGGTGGTGATGACAATTTATTTCTTGGAAAAAAGAGTAGGGCAAGAGTTAACAGTGGGTGGTGATGACTAAATGCCTTCCCTCTAGTCTTTCACTGCTAAATTAGGGACTGCTAGTGCAGATAGCCCTTGTGTAGCTTTGCGTGATATTAAAACAAAAACAAAAAAATAAGAAATAGCATTTTCTAGAAATCTGTTTAATTGTAAGCTTTGATTGTACAATATAAACTAGTGAATTCTGCATATGTACAGGAATGTTATATCAAGACTTTTTCAGCTGTTAGCAATGGAAATAATAGTGAAATTTGCATTAATAACAAAAATACCCAGTGAAAAATTTATTTACTTTTTTTATGTATTTGCTTTTCCAAACTATAGAATTCTCACCAATTTAGTCAGCTATGTTGGTTCTGATGAGATGGTAAGTTCATTCATAACCTCTACAATCAACATACAAACTTGTAATTGTTTAGATATTGCTTAAGTTCCTACCTTTTTGATAACTTTGTCTTTCCATGAAATATTATACCACTGTATAGTAAACCTTACTGCTAAATGCATATGGACATCCCACATCAACTACATACAGGTTGTATTGACTGAATTATATCCAGTGTTTTATATTATAAAACATGTACATTCATTTCATAGTAGTACCAAGAAATCATTCATAAGTATTACATTGGATGAAAACTGTTTCACATTTGTGGCTTGCCAAAATTGATTTCAAATAAATCATCATATTTAGCTGTAAAATGGCAAAGTTGTCTGTTTTTATAAACTTATGCTACTTTATTGAGAGATGATGTGGTCAATGTTTAGGCCAAACAAAAGATGACTAGGTTACACGTATTCTTGCGTTGTTTAATTATTTTAACAAGTTTTTTAATTCTGTCATACAATCAGCATTTCTTTGCTGTTAAAGTATATTGCTATGTTGTATCCTATTATGCTAATTAAGAGTGTATTTATCATCTGAGTTGCTGTAATTCTGATAACTAATAGGCTTTGAAAAGTGTTTAGATTTCCACAGTTAATCAACATAAAATGTGTTTTAAATTTAAAAGCTATCACTGGATTTTACTGTAAGTTGTAGGTAATTTCTTACCTACTAATGTATTTATTTAAAATTTATCTGCTCTAATGTATTTCTAGGTGTTTTAATCAATGGTAAAAATTACATTCCAGTTTTAACTATATAAATTATTTCAATAAATATACAATAATAGAAAAACTAAAAAATGTCAACAGGCATTGGTGTTTAATTGCTGGATGTATTTTCTCCCATTCAAAGCCTCAGTTTTGTACTCAAGGTGATTTGTAGTTATAAAATGTGGATTTTACATAATAATTATTATAGTATTTATAGTGTAATTTTTTATATAGTTTTTGAAAGACATTAGTATTACATTTCTGTTTTACTTTTCATTACAAAATACATTTTTCATGACTTTTTTGTATTTTATTTTGTATTTCAGAAGCAAATTCAGTACATGGTTCCAGCTGTGCTTGTGATCATAAATTATCTTGTTGTCCACAAAGAGGTGAGAAAATGTTTTAAGATATAATTTTCTCTTGTTTTAAGATTAGTTTAGGCAGAGCATATCACTGAAATGTGTATTCACTGCATCTACTTGAGGTCTAGAAATAGAAGGTGCTGAAGGAAACCTATAGACTCCAGACAGATACATACATATCAAAGATAATTCCATGCCAGTGATGTTTTATCATTGTTTGTAGATAGTTTCTAAATTTTAAGTATTTTATGTAAATTCGTTATGAAATTTATTGGAAGCTTTAATAATTAGTGTAACTTTTCAATTAGACAAATGCTCATTGTGTATTGTAAGTGAATGATGTATGTGATATCAGTTGAGTTTTTTTATGTGTGTGTGTTTCTTTTTGAAATGCTTGTTTTGGTAAATGTGAATGTGCTGGTATTAAAGTTTTCATGAAACTTCATCTAGCTTACAAAAAATATGTACTTTCTGGTAAATATTCATAAATATATTCACAATTTGTATTGTAGGACTTAGCTTGTGAAGCAATGGAAATATTTGATGAACTTGTGGAGTCAGAAGTTGCTGTTATTGTCCCACACATTAAGAATTTGCTTGAAGTGTTCATAAGGGTAAGTCTGTATACAGTTTCAACAAATATATTAATCATATTGCAGTATTTCAACTGTGCTTGTATGATATTTGTTTTGAAATAGCAGAAAAATATGAACATAATGTTTGTGCATTTGTTTAAAGAAAATAATCAGGTGCCTAAGTATATTCAGAAAAATTGTCTATGTAGATATTGGTTTACTTAATAAAAATCAAACACTGATTATTATACTCTTTAGTTTTCAGCTAATTCATGTGCTTTGTTTTATATTTATTAGAATCATTTGATTTTTCAAGATTGATGTGAATGATGGTTAATGGATTACCATTTGAAGATTTAAGTGTACAAATAACAATTAAGTAATTTAATTTGAATTTAATGAAGTTTTCATAAAAAAAAATTCCTAGAATATAATTACATTCTTTTTATTGTAGAATAGGCCTGGTTTGGCAGTTATGCCAAACTATGAATCTGAGTCCGTGATTAATGTCCTGTTGCTACATAATCACATAATGGGACTGTAGGTGTGTCATAAGAATGTTGGCTAAATCCCACTATCCAATTAGAGTAGCCTAAGAGCTGGTGGTGGATACTATTGACTGCTTTCCCTCTTGTTATTAGTTCAAAATTAAGAATGGCTAGCACAAATTGTGCTCAAATTTTGTGTATGATGTACTCAATAAATAAAAATACCTACCAAATAAAAGTAGCATGTTTGACCTTAGCTCATATTGTTAGGCTTTTTACTACTAGTGAAAATTAAGGGGCATAATAGACTTTAAAGACTGTGATATTGATCTATCTGCAATAGCTTAACATAACAGAAAAGACCATCCAATAGAGTGGAATAATACTAAAGTAATGGGATGCCAGTTGTGCATGAGAAAAAAGAAATTAGTAAAACAGGCTTCTACATCTATGTATCTGATAAGACACCCATTCAACCTAGCATAGAGGTCAGCAGAACTTAGATGCCTCTCTTGTACGCATTCAGATAAGTTCATTGTTTCGATTTCTAGTTGATAAAATCCCATGTCGGTAAGTAGTGCACCACCACAGAGACAGTCTTTGTCAGGACGTCCATGAAAACAGCAGCATATTACAAGCCCAAACATAAAATTATTTTAGTTGGTAATGAGTATCTAGTAATAAAGATAAGGTAATTAATTAATAATTAGACTAAGGTGATCATTTAGGCTGCTATTGAACTGTGGCAACAATTGATATCTGATCACCACAACCTTAATCTAAGTATTTATTTTTTTGTTTTCATGTTTTATAAAAAATATTGAGATTGTTTGCACTACTATATACATCACTGGATATTTTAAGTATAGTAACATATTTTGCTTAACAAATCATAGTTCATTAAAAACAATATGCCTATATGTATGTGTGTGTGTTTGTGACCACTAGAGATAAGTGGTATTTGTTATTAGCTTATTAGATGCCCCCATCAATTCATTACACTTCTTTATTTGATTAGTATAGTGTTCTTCAAACCATGTTGAATACAAGTACAAAAAATAAGTTGGCAGTGGGTGCTGCAAGACAGTTGCCCTCTCTCTGCTCAGTATTTCAAAAGTAGTGACAGTAGCAGATAGCCCGATTACTTGGATAGTTAAATAATTGAAAATAGTAATAATTTTGATTAGTTGATTATTTTTGAGACAATCACTTGAATAATAATTTTGATTGACTGTTGAAATAATTCAGTTAACTTCAGTTAATTGATTTAATTTCACTTTTGATTAATCAACAAATTTATATGACACCAATAATTGTAATCACTACTCATAAGTAAGTAATTAAATTGCCCAGTTCTAGTGATCGCACTTAGTACCACCTTACTACTTAAGTAGTTGAGAAATGAGGATGACACAATGAATCTGCTAGTTGTAAGCCAAATTTGTTCAGTGTTATAACCATTTTTTGATTATATCTTATTAAAAATGCATCCAGTGGCTGTTGTGAAATAAGATACATTACTTTTAACTAGAGCTGTAACAAAAGGTAGATTTGACTTTTGAAAGTTAGGAACACATTACTTAATGAAGATTCAAACCTTCTATAGCACTAATTTACATAGTAGCTTATATTTCATTGAAAAATCCTTTCATTTTACAGGTAATCCATATAAATGAAATACAACTTTTACATGTAGTTTGATAATTAATATATAAAACAGTAATAAAAAATAAGAAATGCACCTTTTTAGCATTCAATCTTTTTACATAGTTTTTTATTAGTAATCAGAGCGAAACAGAACAAAGCAGCATTAACAGTTTGATTATGCACCTACCTGGGACAAAATGTTTTGGAATATCTTAGTATGCTATAAATGTGGCACAATAATATTGAGCAGTTTGAAAGAGAAAAGCCTAAGCTTTTTTGTGGTGCATTTATGTTTGAAATACAATGATAAATGTGTAGTGAAATTTAAATATTTTGTTTTTGTAAAAATCAGTATTTGAACTTACAAATAGCAAGATTATGTTAACTAGCTTAGATCTACTCCAAGATGATTACTAGCTTGGGTTAATGTGGTATTAAAGCTATAATGAAACATAAAGGAAAACCTTGCTTTAAAGTGATTTTAAGGTAATCAAAAATATTTAAATGTGAATATGTTATGTTGTTATTATTATATCATTTTTCAAATGTGTATTAACACTATTTTCCAGAAATTAAGACTTTTTTTTTCATTAGTTCTTTTGACAAATACTAAATGACTTTATCAATTATAGAAATTTTTTGTTTGTTGTAAATCAATTTAAGTCGTGTGTTTATTACACTATTTAAAATTTGAATTCTAAAATGAGACTGTAGCTTAAAATAACATGCTTTGAGGTGCAGTGGATTCTCAGAGAATTTGTTCAACTTTCAAAAGGATAGTAAAGGAGAAGTAAATAATACCCAAATCATTGTATCAAAAAGCAGGAAAACCCAAACAAATGTATGTAGATTTTTTTAATATTGCTTTCAGTGTTTTGATTACTCTGTAATAATGGCTGAATTTAAAAATTTAATTGTATATTAGGAAATATTTTACAATCTTGCAGATAACTAAAGACAAGAAGTTGGGAGACCGAGTCAGGGTTAAGGCTATGTCACTTATCAGCTGGGTTATAAGACTGAAGAAAAAGGTAAGAAACTATCCTTTTGTTATTTGTGTATTATTTATTAATTTAACTGTTTTTAACCACTTGCTTACTATAGGGGCATACTTGGTACATCCATAATTTTTATTGCCAAGGGCCACCTGGGCATTCTTTGATGAACATTTTCCCACTGAATCCAGTGATGTATGGTGTGTAGGATTTTCTTCAATAATATATATATAATAAGTCAATCAAATTCTTAGTTTTCCCTAGTACCTGGATTACAAAATGTCTGGTCACCAAAGGGTTAAGGTACTCTGTGTATTTTGTGTTACTTTTTAAAAATTAAAACATCATTTCATATCACAGTTTTATATTTTATACTTCCTTTGATATTGAAAAATCTACTCTTTCATAGCATCACAAGTTTTTTGAAATTCAACATTTTGAATGAAAAAATTAACATACTGACATTGCCAGTTTAGTTTCAGACAGTATAACTTATCTTTTGTTTTTTCTACACTAATGTCTTAAGTAAACATTTTAACTCCATCATACTTCTTATATCATTTTGTTTAATCTTGTTGATGAACCCAACTTGCTCGGCTTCTTGTCATGTCCCCTAGGCCCTCCAGTGGTACAGTGGGATGTCTGCAGACTTACAACACTAGAAACTAGGTTTTAACACTTGTGGTGGGCAGAACCCAGATAACCCATTGTGTAGCTTTGTGCTTGAACCACGAACAAAACAAACATGTCCTCTGGTCTCTGGTGAGGATTCTAAACATGCTGTGATATGTGACAAAATCATATTCGCCATACATATATATACATGATTTAGTATTTGTCACAAAATTTGAATGATCTTTTATTTTTAACCACCTAATTCTTGAGCCAAAAAACCCAGTAATATATCTAGGATACTTAAATTCATATATATCACTTATAATTTTCTTTAGTATGAAATTCTACATTTATACGTGATAAATATTTTATGTTCTATTCTCACATTTAAAAACTGCTCTTAATTTAATTAGTGGATAGGTTTTAGAACATAGCTTAAGCAGTTGCATTTTTACATTTAATATGTTTATCCATATGTGGTAATATTTTATATATTGAAATTGTTTGTTTACAAACATTAAATTTTACCTATTTATTTAAACTATTAACATTTCTAAGTATTTATTTATAATAATGTCAATTATACTGTTTGGGAAACCATTTTTATTTAGAAACACTTTAATATTATCAAATATGAAATATATGAAAATATATGTGCTATTTTATAAGCTTGGTGAATTAATATTGTAACTGAATTTTCTTTGTACAATAGTGGAATCCAACAGTTAAAATTTTAATATAAACCTGTATCTCTCTTCTGATGATATACTTCACATTCTAAATTACCACTAACACATTTCCTTCATAAAGTAGCTAACATAAATTGTTACAATAATTGTTCAGAAACCACAAATAATCCTGATATTTTAGTTTTAAAGATGGAGTTACAAACTTCAATCTATGTGCTAACACATTTAATTAGGTTTCTTATTCTATGTCTTGACCTAAATTTGTATTTGTACATATTTTATGCATAAATGCATATGAATGGTCATACTGATAGAATATAAAAGTTTTTCAGGTATAAAGACAAAATTTCATACACAAAACATTCTAAAGTATTTTATAAACGTAAATGTCTTAGATGTAACAAAATAACACACTATAGTGTATAGCACTTAAAAAGTTAATGTAAAAGACTACAGTCAATGAAACAAACTATCGAAAGACATAATTGTGTGTATCCTTGTAAGACCCTTGTCATCTGAAGTGTTAATTACAACCTGACACTATATATTGTATATGGGAAAAATTGGATATTGTTCAATGTGAAATTATAATTGTTTTGGTCTATTGATACATCTTCTATAATTTTATTTTATTTCTACTATCATGTTATCAACCAAGCTTTTAGTTGTGATTTCTCTTAAATATGTAACACTCTGTATTAAAACTGATGAATCCTCCATCATACACTGTGAAAATGCTACATTTAAATTGTAATGGTATAGATAGTGTATTTTTTCTTCCTAATTTAATTAGGTAATAATCAAGCTGAAACTTGTAAATAGTATACTGAGCGTCCTCTTTTCTGTCATGTGTGAACATTCTGAAAATGACAACAAAGATGATGATGAGGAAGATAGTGATGATGAAGATGAAAAAGATGAAGATGTTCCATCATCTTTTGCTGCCCAGGTTAGAGATTTTTGTCCTGGAGTAATATAAGTGTGTGTTTATTATGAAACAACGTTCAAAAGAGTTAGCCATGTAATAGTGATTTAATTAACTACTTTCAAAATATATAAGCTTTTTTTTTAACCTTCTCACTATGGGTAGTTCAGAGTGAGCATGTCACAACCTTTAAGAGAGCTACATTCAAACTTTATGCTACATTATTTTCAATTTCTATGAATAAACTTGGCATCAAAGCATAGTTAATAAATCAAGTTTTAATATTATACAAGTTTTAAGTTCTTAATTTTATAAGGAAATATTTAAAAAAAAATCCTCAATCTCTCCTAGTATGAGAATCATGACATTTCTTCTCTAACTATTCTCCCTTTTATAATTTATTTACCACTACTCTCTGAAGTATGGAATTTAACATAACTTAATCATTATATTACAGATATTACTAAATCAGCCTCACTTGCCATGCTTACCTCTCAAATTATCTCTTTCACAAATTGCTAATGGTTTTCTTTGCTGTTTTATACTATATTACTTATAACCAATATAAAGACAAAGATTTAATTTATTAAATGATGTATTATATTAAATTGTTTTCAGTACAGGGTATTGTCTATTTCATCTTCAGTTTGAAAGTTCCTCTTGTGGTGTTCAGAATGAGAAACAAATGATTATTTTAAGTCTTTTATGCCATAGTTAGAAAGTCAATTAAACTATGATTGTTAGAACATTGTTTGCTTTGTGTGATCTTAAGTAAATAAAAATTATTTAGTGTACTAGTACCATTAATATAAAAAAGTAGGCTTAAATTTCATCGGCACCTGACAGCAAAAAAAGTAAAAACAAAGGTAAGAAATAGATTTTTTGTTTTTCATGTATATTCTTTAGTGATTTAAAAGTAGCTAAAACATATGAATTAAAAGTTGTTAGGTTTGGTAAGATAAGGAAAAATAAAAATTATTCACAGGGTATGCTCATGAGCTACGTATTTTCCAAGTGGTGTACAACATGTGTGGCAGGATTATTAGTGAGACACAGTTCAAAGGACAATAAAAAAAATATAATTAGGTATAAACAGATGTATACTGTTACAAGCCTTAAGCCATTCACGATAAACAGATGTAGTTTACTGTTACAATTTACAGTCATTCTAGAACAAATAAATGGGTAATTTAGATCTATTTTATATTTTTTTCATGGGGATTACAAGGTAGGTCAAATCAACTGAGTCTGTAAAGAGTTAGGGTAGAGAAAAAAACAGATAAAATATGAAGTTTTACTGAAACAAAACGTTTAATATTTATTTAGGAGGTTTTAGAGGTTATGTGGTGGCAATAAAATATAGATAAGTAAGTACTGTTAAAAACAGTAATTTATGATTTTTGGGTTATTCAAATGTATACATAAAAACCTAAAAAAGATTTTTCATATCCTCCACATGCAAAATTTTAAAAGACTTAACAACGTACGTCAAGCAGCAACCAAGTACAAAGGTCGTAACTAGAAGAGATAAATGTTTACTTTACTTTTTATTTACTGTTCTATGTTTTAAGAAAAATAAGTTTGAGAACTTATTTCTAAATAATAATAATAATACATATATATTGTATAATAATGGAAATGTGACTGAATTTTACAAAATACTAAAACATAGCCAAGACAGGTCACTTTGTAAAGACTAAAGGTCAATTTTATATTATTGGATATGATAACATGAGAGCATGTGTGCCGCATTATTGTAACTTCTGTATTAGACAGCCACAGCTGAAAGGTCAGTATAATAAAAATAATAAATATATATAGTTGTATAATGTTATGAGATTTAAGCTGAGTAGTCTAAACATTTATGTCTTTGTTATAATTTGTTGTCATTCTAGAGCAAAAGAAGCATAATTTATATTATTTTTTAGTTGTTTTTTTTTATGGTGGTTACAAGATCAGTCAAATCTACCAAACCTGTACAGAGGTTTGTTAGTGAAAATAACAGATAAAAAATAAAGTTTTTTTTTTAAGAAATGTTTGATAACTATCTGGACATTATAAAGA